ATGAAAAATAATATTTTTAAGAGTATTAACTTTTAACTATACCAAAGAAGACATTCCAGTGGTTAATAAACAATGAAAAGTTAACTAAGGTCATTACCATAAGAGAAATGTAAATCAGAAGTAGGATGAGATATCATCCCACATCGGCCATAATGGCACTGGTTAAAAAAAATAAATAAACAACAACAACAACAACAACAACAAAAAACCCAGAGAATAACAAGTGATAGCAAGGCTGTGGGGAGATTGAACTCTCATACACTGCTGATGAGACTGCAGAATGGTGCAATCACTATGGAAAATAGTATGGCGCTTCCTTAAAAACCTAGAAAGAGAAATACCATGTGATCCAGCAATCCCACTCCTTGGACCATATCCTAGAGAAGGAAGAGGTATAACATGAATGGACATATGGACAACCATGTTCATCACAGCATTATTCACAATAGCAAAAAGATGAAACAACCTAAGTGTCCATCAACATATGGTACATACATATAGTGGAGTACTATGCAACAGTAAAGAATAATAATGAATCCATGAAACATCTCACAACATGGATGGACATGGAGGACTTTTTTTGCTGAGTGAAAAAGGTTAATCACATAAGGAGAGATATTGTATCAGTTCACTATTGTAAAAAACAAGTCAAGGAAAGGTTTATATATGGAAGGAAACTTTTTTGTTAGTTACCAGGGATGGGAAGGGAAAGGAGGGAACACTGCAAGATACGTAGCAACAAGTATTGATTTGGGTGAAGGGAAGGGCAATGTACCAAAGGGAGTGATCAACACGGTGGTATTGAGGAAGAGGAAGACATAAAGAAGTACGTGGGAGGTATAGACAATGAAGATGAACCCTTTCATGTGCAAAATACAGTGTTGTCAGTGACGGCAAGCATTAATCTATAGGCATACATGGATGGACAGGCTGAATGATCAGGTATATCTAGGCATGGGGTAGTTTGCCCATGACCATGTATATGGTTGGCAGACGATGTTCCTTCATGCATATTTGTATGTGCTGTAAGAATGTTCGGGTGTATAGTAGAGCTGACAAGGGACAAGTTGGTGGTGGCTTCTTGTCCATAGCCAGCTAGCTACCCTGTAGGAATGAGTAGTTGAACCTTTGGGCTTGTGACCATGGTCACAGGGGACATCAAGGTCAATTGGCATAACATACTACATAAAATATTGTTATACATCCTACTTTGGTTAGTAGCAACTGGAGTCTTAAAAGCTTGCAAGCAACCATCTAAATGCAATGATAAGTCTCTCCTCATTCAGAGCAAAGAAAAATGAAGAAAACAAAAGACACATGGAAGCAATTAGTCCAAGGGACTAGTAGACCATGTGATCTTCAGCCTATATGATCATGACACTGGAAGAATTGGATGGTTCCCGGCTGCCACTGTCAATCAATCGGAGGGGAATTGGTGCAGGAGATCTTGGAGAGAATGGGAGAACAATGTGGAACAAAACTCAAAATCATTAAAAAAAAAAAAAAGACCAGGTTTGCTTGTCTTCTAACCCTGGGGAGACCTCTGAGACTATGGTCTGTAGTTACCCTTCAGATGTGGAACTGAACTTCCTCCTGTGGCCTCCAGCCAAACAACAGACAGGTGTATGAGGTGAACATTTACATGAGGGAGATACACTCCTTGGAGCAAGCAATCAATTGTGGGATAACAGAAGGGCAGTGTTTGCACAGGGTGATAGCTTATGGGGTAGGATTGCATGGGCGGGAAGAACTCAGGGAAAAGGTAACGACAGAGAGGAAGTGCGAAGAGAGCTGTTACATTGTGGGGTATTGCAGTCAACATCATGAAACAAAAGTGTATTAACTGGTGTATGGAAAATGACTTTGCTCTGTAAACTTTCACCTACATCACAAAAGTCTAAAAAAAAGAAAAAAATACAAAAAAAGAGAGAGAGAGAGAGAGGGAAATGCTTAATGCATTTCAGTAGACTGATTCCCAAATAGACACCTCTAGTCACTGTTTCTTATTTACTTTTAGAATTGATTTCAAAATTCAGATAAAGTTTACATACATTAAATGCACTAATCCTAAGTGTTCTATTTGGTGAGTTTTGATAAAAGGATTACACACGTATTATGAGTATTCCCATTATGCCAGAAAGTTCCCTCATGTCACTTTGGTAAACTCCCTACCACTATAGAGGCAAGCACTGTTTAAATATTTTCTTCACGATATTATGTTTGATCTAGAACTTCAAACAAATGGGATCGTACATATAGTTTCTTTTCTGTGTAGCATCTTTAGCTTGGTGTATGCCTGAGAATCACCAGTGCTGATGCATGTATCACTTGTCCATTTAGAATTATACAAAGTGATTATCAAGGCTTGCTTTAATTATTACCAACAAATATCATGTTAGAATGACCAACCATCCCTGTTTGGCTGGGACTGGGGTGGGGGACTTCCCAGGGCATGGGACTATCAGTGCTAAAATTAGGAAAGCCCCAGTAGACAGAGGTCAGTTGGTCACCCTATAATGACATCTTTAAATGTCTTGTTGTTATCATTGATAGGTGCCATTGAGTCACTTCTGACTCATACCGATCCCTTGTCCAACAGAACGAAAATGTCTTAATTAGGTCCATTTAAAGACTAAACTTTGCAGTACTTGTATCACATTAATGTGCTTATGTTTTTATTTTATATACTATTTTGCACAGCTAACCTTCCTCTTATACATATGTTGACAAACAAGTTAGAGTGAGTTTAATGAGAGAATAGGTACATCCAAACAGTACCAGGAGTAGACCATATGGTAACCCATGCAGATCCCTTTTGTCAGGAATGTGCCAACTCCCCAAGCAAGTGCGAGTGTGGATTGCTAGGGGTTCACATTGTTCCTCTACACTGTTCTCCAATTAATTGTCCTCAGCTACAGGAGGCCACTTACCTCAAGGGTTTTTCCTCTTCCTCTTTGGGGATGGTCCACGGTTAATGATAATGTGGGAGTGTGAAGGCCCAGTCACATTGCCTCCAGGAGGGACCATTCAAATGCTACAGCTGCTTATGGCATCAGCTGAGGATAAATTCAACTCAAGCCACATCTTGGCTTAACTTCTAATATGGTAGTTCCCTCCACTTCTTACAAGTTTCTCCTGAGAACATTCTCTTAATAAATCATCTCACTCTCTGAATAAATCATTGCA